AGCAACCCCTCGGAGTGTAAGTATGTTATTTTATAATAAACTGTAAAAATTGATTGATTTGTGTGTTTTTCCCTCTCAACAGCCAAGCGAGTAGCCCGAAGTAATAATAATATTTTTTTACTTGTTATTTTTAGTTTTTTTAAACGGGAAACGTGACAATACTGCAAGTTAAAAATGTTTAAATTTATTATCGATGTTGCAAAATAGCAATAATTGGTGAAAAAAGGCAAAATAATCAAGTTTTTTGGATAATTTTTTAAAAATATTTTAATTGCTGCGAAGGCATTCTAATTTCGTAAAAAATTTTTTAGAGTATAATAAAACAATACACCAAATTTCATTAAAATCGGTTCGATAGTTTTCGCAAAAGAATTTTTTGTAAAAAAAATTTTGAAAAAGTTTTAGAATTTTCAAAATGTTGCACAGCCTCAAATAAAGCATTTAGATACTTGAAAAATTTTTTCACATAGGAAAGACCGCTCACCCTTTCAAATGGTTTTTGAAAAATTGAAATTGGTTGATTAGGACGGCCACAGTAAATTATTAAAGTTAACACTTTTTTTTATTTTTAAACAAGTAGATTACATTTATCAATTTGCAATTTAATTTTTTTCAAAAATTATAATTTTAAAGTACTCGGAAAGACGCTTCTTTTTTTTTTAAAAGTTAAATTCCGTTTATTGATTCTTGAGATATGAGCGGTCAAAGTTTAACGGCATTTACCGTTAATTTATAAACAATAATCTTTGATTCAGTAGCTTCGTTTTCCGAGTTCTAAGCTGGAAAAAATTTTCATATCCATAAGTTATCGGCAACATAGATAAATCAGCGGAAAAACTGTCGCTCGTACGCGCGAAAAGTGACTCAAAACACGAAAAGTGGATGGAGGAGGGGGCTTTCGCTCCGAGACTGAATTCGGAGGTTCATAATGCGAAGGTACGAAAAAATTGCATTATCTCGGCTTCAATGGACCAATTTCGATCTCTTCTTTTTTAATCCGATGTCTCGCGAGCCAAGGAATTCGAATATCGTAATGCTAACTGTCTAATTTGCACATATTTTGTTATAAACAAAGTTTATTATTTATGCATTAAATATACTGTATATTTTACCCTATGCTATTGCATTTTTTCAATGAAAAAATTTGTTTACCTACGACCACTACTGTAAGTACTTAAAAACACACTGTCTGCGATCAATGTAAGATTCCTATTACGTACGGTAAAAAAAAAACGCACAGTTTTCCTAGCAACTGCCTAGCAACGGCCAATATAATACTGTTTGTATTGACCGTTGCTAGGCGGTTACTAGGAAAACTGTACGATTTTTTTACCAAGCTGTGCGATTTTTTTTACCGTACGACGTAATAGGAATCTTGCATTGATCGTAGACGGTATGTTTTTAAGTATTTAAAGTAATGGTCGTAGGTAAAGTATAGTACGTAATACGTGGTGTAATGCAATTACGCACTCATAGAATTACGCACTCGCCGCTACGCGGCGTTGTGCGTAACTTTTCCATTCGTGCGTAAAATGCTTTTTTACAACACTTATTACGTAATATACTATTACGTATATATTTCAACACTGAATATGAATGTATTTAGTTATAATTATTACAATTATTTAAATAATTATTGTTTAAACAAATTAAAACAATTTTTTTTTGCAAATTAATGTGTTTGTTAAATGCAGATAAAATTAAGAAAAAATAGTACTATAAAATTATAATTTTTGAAAAAAACTAAATTGCAAATTGATAATTGTTTAAAAGTAAAAAGTGTGTCAACTTTAAAAATTTACTGCGGCCGTCCTAATCAACCTATTTCAATTTTCCAAAAACCATTTGAGGTTGAGCGGTCTTTTCTGTGAAAATTTTTTCAAGTATCTAGATGCTTTTGAGGTTGTGCAACATTTTGAAAATCGAAAATTTTTTTCAAAATTTTTTTTCAAAAAATTATTTTGCGAAAACTATTGAACCGATTTTAATGAAATTTGGATGAATTTTATTATACTGTAAACTTTTTTTTACCAAAATTAGAATGCCCTCGGAGCAATTAAAATATTTTAAAAAATTATCCAAAAAACTTGCTTATTTTGCCTTTTTTTCATCAATTATTGCTATTTTGCAACATCGGTAATAAAATGAAACATTTTTAACTTACCGTACACTGTGCAAAATTGAATTCTAAAACTTTTTTTCCTCTTCAATATACTTCCAAAACGTATAGGTTTCAAGGTATAAGTAAAAAACTCAGATAAAATAGGTATTTTTTAAAATTTTTTAAACATTTTGCAATTTTGAAAATGTTCCGGACCTCTCCCAGATCTAGGGATCTACACTTTTATTATGTTAGTTGTACTGAAGGTAATCCAGAAAAAATTTGCTTGCCCCCTCTCACATCCACCTCAAAACAGATCCGTCTTGGTCTACCTGTATATTAAAGTTCGTTGTATTTCAATCCCTAAAAATGTCGAATTTGAATCATCTTGTATATGTATATTAATTTATTGGTCTTCGGAAATATTATAATTTTCTATGATGGACGAGAACTAGTCCATTGAAAAGTTACATTTGGGGTTGCAAAAGTCAGAGCACGCAATTTTAATTTTTTGGATGTCAAGAAGGGGTTAGTGTGAAGTTAAATCCATGTTTGTGGGGTCGCAACCCTTGTGCATCGGCCGCCATCTTGTAAAAAGGGCTGCGAAAGGTTTTTATACTACTACTTACTATATCGGGCAAACTATTCGTCGCACAGAAAAGTTGTAAATACATTTTTTGTTGCAAATTAAATTCTCTACAAATTTGTTCCCGTAACTTTTAGCCGTAGAATAAAAAATAACAATGTTATTAACGAAAAATAGATACAAATTTGGGAACCAATTCTCTTTTGGTCGTTATAACTTTTTTTCTGGTCATTTTACAAAAAAAAATTACATCAGAGCATTTTCATAGAGGTTTTCAAGGAATAATTTCCATTACAAACTTTTTTCAAATTTTATTTACAAACTTACACTATTCTCCAGTACTGTTAAGTATTCATTAATATGAATGATTAGGCATAGGAGGTGTCCTTCAAAGTTTTCTTCCAGTGTGCTAATTGTGAAAAGTATTTTGAGATTTGTGGACACTATTTTGAATTTTGTGGACAAGAGGTGAGTTTCAGTGTCGACCAAGCAGAATCAGATGCAAATACCCTCATCGTTCGCTCCGCTCTTGCTGAATCCCAATCGTTCCACTCGGTCACTATTGTCGCCCGAAAATATCGACATTCTTGTCTTGCTCACGGCATTTGGAAGAACACATTCAAATGTATTTTTTTTAAACCACCAAATGGACGTACAGCCGAACAATTATATTGTCCGTCAAGTTTTATGTATGGAGACGTCATTGTGGATAATCTGTTGTTTCTCCATGCCTTCTCAGGATGTGATATGACTTCAGCAGCTTACAACATCGGTAAAATGAAATTTCTCACAACCCTGGAGACACATCTTGAGTTAGCTAGTGGAACAGCGTTATTCCTCAATGAGAGAGTCAACCCTACTTTGCTCACTGCCGTTGGCGAACGTTTTTCCATCTCTTTATATGGTGGCAATAAAGATGATGATTCACTTGACAGTTTTAGATATAAACGATTCGCCAAGCCAGTGAAAAAGAATACATTTAATTTGTCTTCGCTTCCTCCAACACAAGACACAGGCCGCTTGCACAGCCTCCGACTCTATCATCAGGTCCAGTCGTGGCTCGGGAATTACAACGACCCTCAAGACTGGGTCTGGAAAAAGTATAGACAAATATTGATGCCTGTTCAAAGTTCAAAACCTCCAGCACCCCCTGAGCTTCTAAAGTTGATATTCTGTCGATGCAAAGGAAACTGTGGAGCAATATGTGGATGTCGGAAGGCAAGCCTCAAATGTTCTACAGTGTGCCTGAATTGTTCTGGGAAGACATACAGCAACATAATGAAGATATCAAAATTGATCGAGGAGAATGATTTTGAAGATGAACTGCCAACAATGACGTCACTTCATTCTCCATCCTTCCTCAACAATTCAATATCGGAAGCTCAACCAGATCTGAGTCGCAGCCTGGCCCATCAAAGAGACTGAGAACACAGTAGATTGGGAAATATATTTCGATATTTTTAATTACACTAATTATTATGTCAGCTAGAAAATGTCCGTGGATTCTGCCTACTAGGGATACGACGTAAAAAAAACGCTCCACCAGACTCTGCCTCGTAGGGGGTGGGGAAAAGAGTCAATAACTAATTAACAACATTGCAATGTCAATCATTAAAATGTTTCTTATAAATATAATGGAAAGATGAGAGAAGACTATGCTTGATCATTCATATTAATGCATACTTAAGAATAGTGTAAGTTTCGTATAGTTGTGAAACCCTAATAAATAAATCAAATTTGAAAAAGTTTGTAATGGAAATTATTCCTTGAAAACCTCTCTATCAAAATGCTCTGATGTAATTTTTTTGTAAAATGATCAGAAAAAAAATTATAACGACTAAAAGAAAATTTGTTCCCAAATTTTTATCTATTTTCGTTAATAAATTTGTTATTTTTGGTTCTACGACTAAAAGTTACGGCAACAAATTTCTAGAGAATTTAATTTGCAACAAAAAATGTATTTGCAAATTTTCTGTGCGACGAATAGTTTACCCGATACAGTAAATAGTAGCATAAAAACCATTCGCAGCCCTTTTTACAAGATGGCGGCCGATGCACAAGGGTTGCGACCCCACAAACATGGATTTAACTTTACACTAACCCCCTCTTGACATCTAAAAAACAAAATTGCGTGCTCTGACTTTTGTACGCTAAGCCCAAAAAAATGTAACATTTCAATGGACTAAACTGGTATTGCAAAAGCCGTTATTTTTAGACGCGGAGAATGTACAGTGAACATCAAGACGATTTCATCATTATTACGTTTACGTCACGGTGTTATTTTTAACAGCATTAACCGATGACATAACTTACCTAAGAAAAATTCGATGCCGAATGCCTGCGCCGGACCAAATCCTTCCGTCACCGTGGTAATTCCCAAGCCACCTTCGTGTTTAGAGGCCGGGGTTAGCGCCTGAGAATATTGTAATTATTAAACGATATCTTCCAAAAAGGAAAAATAATTAGTTTTTGCAAATAAGCATAAACTCAAGTTTGGTTTATATCTCCGAAATGCAACATTCATTTTTTCAATATTTGTCTAAGTCTAACATTTTTTCTATAGATGGAAGGTTAAAAAAGATAAGAGGGATAAAATGTGACGTGAATATTCTTGTACACTACTTTAAATCTTGGCGTCAAAATTATCAAAACTGGTAAAATACATATTTTAGATGCCAAAATTTTACCAAAACTATTTGTGAAATGAAAAAATATATACAGGGTGTCCCAGAATAACGTGTACAATGGAAGACCACAGATTCGTGGACTCAAAATAGGCAGATTTAGGCTAATTTACCTAAATCCGAAATCGCTTCGTTTGGCTGCTAGATGGCCTCAAAGTTCGCGATTTCTTTTTTAATTTTGTATACAGGGTGTCTCATAATTAGCTGCCAACCCTGAACAGGCCGATTCTATGATCAAAACTAAGTAAAAAAGTTCATATGAACATTATTAAATTACTATGAAATTGACCAAAGTGGGATTAATTCAAGAGCGATTTTCTCAGAAACCGTTAAAGATAACGATTTGAAACAAGAGTACCTTTTTAACGTAAAACAGTTCGGGAAAACGGAATTCCAATTTGTTAAAAAGTCAAAGATGAAAAAGTTACACACGCAAAGTACCAAGGGCCCCCCCGTACCCACCCCAATGGACCTTGTGGAAATAAATGGATTAGTCCATCAAATTGCTCATCAAAATTTAGCTGTATATACCAAATTTCATTCATTTATCACAACGCGATTGAGAGATATTGCAAAAAAATGATTTCCATTCCTCCCTCTTCAATGCGTCCCTGTGCCCTTAGGAAGCATTTCCGGACCCATGTTCATATGAACTTTTTTACTTAGTTTTGATCATAGAATCGGCCTGTTCAGGGTTGGCAGCTAATTATGAGACACCCTGTATAACTCGAATACGTATTTTTGGGGTGTGGACTTTTGCTTTCAATCTACACATTTTGGTGTCATTCAGATCAGAGTGTTTTTTAAAACATGCAACTCCTACAAAATTGATATATAGTGATAATATCCGTTCATAACTTTTTCCTCTTTCGGGCAATAATGACAACTATTTTTTATCTAATAGGTGAGACGATTTGGAAGTTTTTGGGCCTCTTGTAGAATTTTGATTAAATGAGCGGTTTGGGTACAAGAAAATATTTTTTAAATGTCTACATTATCTAGCCACCCATATTACAATACTTAACAGTGCTAGTAGGCACTGATTTTGTAGGTTGACTGTAATTTCAGTTTGATCTTTAAGTCATTGTACCTGCCAATTCTTAATGATAAGATATACCACATGTTACTTCGATATGGATACACGCACACATACGACGAATTATTTACCACATGCCTAATTTTATTGAGATAATTAGTAAAAACAATCAAATACAATAAAAAATACTGGAGACAAAAGTAACAAAGTTGATGTTATTAAAATTAGTAAAACTTATTATAAAAACTGTTCACAATGACCATCTACAACAAGGGTTAATTCGGCAAAGAAAGTTTGCAGTTCTTGAGGGCAATTTTTTAAAACATTTATGGCAATTTGGATATGTCTCCACAACACTTCTTCAGTGTTAGATGTGGAAGCATACACTGTTGCTTTCAAAGTACCCCATAGATAATAGTCACAAGGTGTTAAGTCTGGTGAACAAACAGTCCAGTTAACAGAAACATTATCCCCTCTACCGATCCGTCGACGAGGGAATCTTTGGTTCAGATACTGCCTGACATTTACAGTAAAATGTGGTGGAGCTCCATTATGCATAAACCACATGTTAGCTCTGAGCACACCTTCCAATAATTCGCGTAAAGTGTTCTAAAATTCTAAACAAAATTCGCCATTCAGTCTATTGGGTAGAATAACAGGGTCAATAATAATACTATCATGCGTTGTATTTGATTATTTTTTCTATTTTTTTCTAAATCGGCGTATGTGTGTGTTTCCATATCGGAAAATTAAGTAACATGTGGTATATCTCATCGTCGTAAACACCCACTAAAAATTGTCAGCTGCAATTAGTTAAAGATCAGACTGAAATTATAGTCAACCCACAAAATCAGTGCCTACTAACACTTTGTTAACTATTATAATATGGGTGGCACGATACAGGTTTTAAAGAACACATATAACACCAAAATGTGTAGGTTGAAAGCAAAAGTCCACACTCCAAAAATAATCAAAATCGATTAATACGTATTCGAGTTATTTACAAAATTAAAAAAATTTTCACGAACTTTGAGGCCATCTAGCGGCCAAACGAAGCGATTTCGGATATAGGTAAATTAGCTTAAATCTGCCTATTTTGAATCCACGAATCTGTGGTCCTCCGTTGTACATGTTATTCTGGGACACCCTGTATATTTCGTTGCAGGCAATTTTGTTGCTTGTCATTTTTTAATTTTTAATCCATTTTATTATTTTCCGTGTCATCCATGCATGAAGGAATATGCAAATTAATTATTTCTTTCATTAGGGAGCCATAAATAATTTTATTAATATCATAAACTGGCGTTTCGCTGTAAAATACGTAATTTTTCAATTACGGTAGTAATTAATTAAAACAATAAACGTTAAAACGTTCTTTATAATTTACAGTCACTATTTCGTTTTATTAGATTATTTGAGCATGAGTATTGTATGTTGTAGTCTGCAGGATGTTTCGTTTAAAAAGAAACAGAGCAAACTTATTTTCGGAAAATGAAACAATGTCAAAAGTACCTTAAAATTCTATTAGAATAAAATAAATTACCTTTAACACGGCCGATCCTGCCAAAGCTCCCAGGCACTGGACTATTATGTACAAAATACCTTTGATGATGGCTATGTTTCCGGTAGCGAGCATCCCTGCTGTGACTGCTGGGTTAATATGTGCTCCGCTGACATGACCTAGTGACTGAAAAAAGACAACATACATAAAAAATGCTTAATTGATTTATTTATATTGTTATGTATTTTTTTATTAGAATTGTTTTTTCTTTTGAGTGGTGTAGAGAAACTAAGACACGGAGCCTATACCAAAGATTTGGCGCTTTTGATATCAGAGAAAGGTTAAAAAATTGTAGTATGCCCTTCTAAAATTTCAATAAGAAAGCTGCTATTAAGAACTCTTAGTCATTTTATAAATATTTAATTTTAAATATGTCAATTTAATAAAGAATTTGTTTTGAGAACTGTAGCAAATGAAGTGCCTTTAATATTTTGATACCTGGTACGCATGGGTGTCGTCCAGGGAGTCCAAAGGGGTCAGATTTAAAATATCAGAACAAATAATACCTTTTTAGGTTTAAGGTCCGTGAGTAAATGGTATATGACGTAAAATGTAGGGACACCACGCTGACATTACACATATAAAGAACTGATGGACGATATATTTTAATGGGCGGTTTGTAAAAAAATGTGTAGCGTTTTGTCACTGAATACTATTCCACAATCAAAGTCAATACGAACTGTAGTACCTACTGAACTTCTCTAATAACTCACTATATGATATTGTTTTTAATTAAAACATTTTTTTATTCGAATCGCATGCTATTGTTACAACATTGTGTGACTACGAATAAGTTGTTACAGAAAACTCTTCTCTGTTTCTCTGTTACTAAATAAAAGCAGGAAGAGAGTGGTATGAGATTTTAGTTGAACTTCCTATTAACACATGGCACATTTATGTTAAATAATTGCCAGTTAAATAATGGTCTCGTACAAAAATACAAAAATACAGGTCAAGTTTTTAATTTTCGGCATATTATTTTATGGAAGTATCCGAAAATGTGGCGATTTTGTAATATAGCAAAATGAAGGGAATGAAGGGGTGAAAATAGCAGGGCTGGATATACAGCAGTGCACATTTATAAATGACAGAATTAAAGAAAATTAGCAAGTTTTTTTAGTTAAAAAATGATATTCCTTTATCTAAAGTCTGTAGAGAAAATAATAATAATAATAATAATAATAATAATGCCTTTATTTAGATCGCAATTTTTTTTTATACAAAGAAGTATTTAAACGATGGCGATTTTCACCATACGGTGCTCTTCCATTTGACCATCTAGGAAAATAAGGAAGCATTACAAACTCACGCTATAGCAAATAAAGTAGCAAACATAAAAGAGAAATAAAAACAATTACTTAAACACATAACACACCCAAATGCACACTCAAATTACGACAAAAATTAGATTCAGTAATAATAAAAATAATACAACCAACTGATGCAATAATTAACTAATATAGATTTTAATATTTTAAAACTGTGAATAGACTTGCGGGACCTGACATCATTAGGCAAAGAATTATAATTTTTTACAGCGTTGTAAGGAAATGACCGGTGAAACAGAGCAGTCCTATGCTTTGGAACACAAAAGTTACAACGGTTACGCGTGGACAAATGATGCACATCAAAATTCGTAATGAGCTTTGAGGTTAAATATTCAGGTTTATGATATAATAATAACTTAAATGTCAAACGGGACAACTGGATCCGAAATCTAGCACTGAGGTAAAACCACTTCGTATTTTTAAAACTAGGAGAAATATGATCAAACTTACGAAGACCATAACTAAACCTGATACAAGCATTTTGAACTTTTTGGAAACACTCTTTATCCCTGAGGAATAAAACAGGCCAATATACGGCCATGTAATATGAAATGGTGAATGATATCAGCGAATCACAGATTTTTAATTTAATTTTAGTACTAAGAAGATCTTTATGCAGGTAAAGGACTTTCAGCTTGCCAAAACATTTCTGAGTAAGATAGTTGATATGCTAAGCAAATCTAAGAGAATTGTCTACCCACAACCCAAGATTTTTGCAGTTATCAGTTGGAACAATAGTAGGTATGTCCATTCAAAGTAATAGTAAAATCTGGGTTATATAGAATAACGTTCCTTTTATTTCCAAACATTAACATTTGAGTTTTAGATTCATTTAAAATAAGATTATGAGCCAAAGATACCTGATATAGAGTTTAAGTTGTATTAACCAGGGCCACAGCTGAAGAGATGTCAGAAGGACAAAAAGAAAAATATAATTGAATGTCATCTGCATACTGATGGGACTGACAATAACGGAGATAACTACAAAAATCAGCAGTATAAATAGAAAAGAGAAGAGGACCCAGAACACTACCCTGGAGAACTCCGGCAGATATAAGATTAAATCTGGATACGTCAGCGTTCAAAGTAACCCTCTGGCGTCTGTCCAATAGATAACTTTTAAAGAAAGCGACAGCAATGTTACTAAAACCGAAATATTTTAACTTAATACAGAGTGTTGTATGACCCAAAGTGTCGAATGCTTTACTAAAATCGATATCACTTATAAGGTCATCTGTAACTTTAAGCAGTACAAGTACTACATTGAGCTCGAAAGCCAGACTGAGTATCAGGCAGTATATTGGCTTTATTACAATAGTTGCTCACTTGTTCAGAAACTACTTTTTCCAAGATTTTTGATAGGCTAGGAAGGATACTAATGGGACGAAAGTTTGAGATATTTGTGGGGTTATTAATTTTCGCGACAGGTATAATGTTAGCATCTTTCCACGCAGAAGGAATAACTCCAGCCGCGTGGCATTTGTTTATAAGAAAAGTAATATGATCGCTTAAACATGGAGTTACAAGAGATATTTTTTTTAAATCAATACCATCACAGCCCTTAACAGAAGATCTAAGTTTACCAATGATTTTGTCAATTTAATCCATAGTAACATCAGTAAATACAAGCTTATTATAAATGATGGCATATTTAAAATATTTCAAATGAAATAGTTGATACATTTTTACATTACATCTCAGCAAACTGAAAGTACAAATAAGCTGGAGTGATATTCCAGGAAATAAGCCTAGTTTTTAATATAATTAAGGTTTTGTATATTTTGATATGCCGATATTTTGTGACAAATTTCAATAATAGTTATAATATAAATATGAGATAATTTTGCCCGAAGAATTCTTTAACTTAATTAGTATGTAGAAGTAGAATGTATAGCCAGCTAAACATCTCATCCTGAATTTCGACTAATTGTCGGATACGTCCATTAGAGGCAATTACCTTTTGTTTTGCCACCAGTCGAAGATCTATTGCATTGTAATCTTGCTTTTTGTTTATGAATAATAAAAAATGCTCGATTTCTTTACCTAAGGTTATAATTAACCTTTATAAATATGCCCATTAAAAAAAATAAGTACGAACCTGGAATGTACGATTTACTTTCGGACCTTAGAACATTTTACGGCTATAAAGTTTTATTTAAATTAAAAGAATAGGAACAAATAGTAATGAAATTTTAACAGAACAATAAATGAAAAAATGTTTTTCTAGATGGCAAAGCAAATAAGATTGCCCCCCTTACACCTTTTAAATAGCACCGAATACACTATTCAAGAGCATCTGGTTTTATTCTAGTTTCGGAGACATGCCTATAATTAGACATAACTAAACAGCAAAACAGGTTAATGATTATGAATGAATGAAACGTCGGTAAGTCGGTGTATTTGTTAAAGCGAAACCAGTAAAAGTCAACCGAATAATAAATTGTTGAGATATTCCTGTTAATAACCTCGTCATTTTTATTTATAAAAATTATAGATACCTATATATAAAAGAACAACACGCCTTATATGGGTTTGTTAATACGTGACAAACCATCCCTATTTATATACAAAAGAGATGTCATTCAAGAGAAGCCGACAGCTCAATTATTAATACACTGTTGTTATTTTATCTTCTTTATCTTTATAATACATTATTCGCTATAAGTGTAGCCCCTAAAATACCAGAGTAACTGTAACATACCGGACTAAATTTAATAAACGAGGTAAGGTAATTTATTACAGACACAGGGTGGCTCAAAAAATTACCAAATATGTTGCGCAATATTTTGTTGAGACTTGTGGTCTCTTTTTAAATAGTTCTGACCCGATATAGCACATCAGTTGGTTGTTGTGTTCGCACGCCAACAAGTTTGTAAAATTTCTTAGGACATTGGCATTAAAACTTTGAATCTACATAATACTATAGAAGGTGTGTTCCAATATAAACAGGACTTTTCAAAAATAGGTATTTCTAGTGAGGCCATCTATTGGCAATTACATTAGTCGGAAAAGTAGATGCTTCACTGATGTACTGTCAAAATTTCGTGACATTTGGACGGATAGAAGAGTTATTGGTCTGAAATGACAGTATGTTTGTGTCATTGGTACAAAAATGAGCATCGAACAAAGAGCTAATATTAAGTTTTGTCTTAAACTTGGTAAAACTTTTACCGAAACGTTTCAATTGATGAATCAAGTTTATGATGATGATTCTATATCTCGTAGCAGAGTTCATAAGTGGTATACGCTGTCGCGATGAATAACATGTTGGCCAACCGAAATCCGTGATCACCGCAGATTCCATCAAAACTGTGCGTGAATTCAAGAAAGATCAGCTAAAAGCTTAATTGAAATTCATGAAATTGGTATTGAGCATCACAAAAACATCATTTTATCACATTTTGACCAAACAATGTGGATACTGACCAAAAATTGCTCATAACTCATAATTCGAAGAATATCATCAAGGAGGCCGAAAATAACAAAAACTTGCTTTATATCATTGTGACTGGTGATTAAACTTGGTGTTTTCAATATGATCCAGAAACCAAGCGCCAAAGTGCCGAGTGGAAGGCACCAGAGGAGCCAAAATCCAAAAAATCTAGTTTGGGCAAGTTAAAAGTGAAGACAATGTTGATTTGCTTTTACGATTCCAAGGGCATTGTCCACAAAGAGTTCATTCCATCGGAACAAACCTTTAATGCACAATCTTGGAGTTTTGAAGCGTTTGGCGCACCGTATTCGTCGTATTCGATCAGAATATCGCGCAGAAGGAAATTGGCGTTTGTTGCACTGTTCCACCTCATCAATCGACACTTGTGACTAATTTTTTCACTAAAAATCCCATTTTAACTGTCAACCACTCCCCGTATTCGCCTGATTTGACATGATGCGGCTTTTACCTTTTCGAAAAAATGCATTTGCCGATGAAAAGAAAACGTTTTGTGGACGTAGAAGCCATCCAAAAGGTTTGTATTGACATCCTGAAGGACATCCTGGCCGACGATTTAAAACACTCATGCGACATGCTTCTAGACCGTACAAATCGCTCTGAAGGATGCTATTTTGAATAAAATAAATCGGTTTTGCCAAAAAAAACTTTTTGTTGTTCTTATTTTTAAGAAGCACTTTGTAGCAAGCATGTGACACGATATAGCTGAGCGCAGATCGACCGTATTCCTGGTTGCCTATTTCCTATTAAAAGCAGTGTACAAACCGAAGTTAGTGTAAAACCTATTTTTATTCCAACATATCTTTTTGAAAAGTGCTAGGATTTACACAGCATTGAACAAAAGATAGACAAAAGTGACATGGTAAAAATTATTTTTTTCATCTTTAAAAATATATGATTATTTGTAGAGTTACCAAAGTAAGTTCATACTTTAGTTAGTTAGTTCATAATTTACTTTGTTGTCTTCTAATAAATATGCTGATCAAATTTTAATTCTTGTTTTGCTGAAAATTTCTTTATTAAATAAGTTATATTGGAATTAAATTAATAAATATTCATTCATAACTTGCTGTGAACCTAACCTAGCAAGACCGTATGCTTTTACAGGTGCGGGGCGATTAGTTAACCCTTGTGGCTCCCGAATTGTAGTGCAATAGACCTCTTAAGTAGTGACGTCACATACGCCAAATAATAGGCAACACCATAGTGCACACTGTCATGAAGAATTTCTCAATATTTTTACTAGATCGATATTCGACCTTATGTACGACAAAAAAATGGCTTCTTTGTCATGACCTTAAATATCGCGATATTCTGGCAATATTAGAAATATTTAAGAAGTTTCAGACCCCAAGTGACAAACTAATAGAATTATAGAACAATATTGACTTTTATAGTATAGTTTAAGCACATTAGTCTATCATTTCTTTAATCCTTGTGTAAAAATAAATTAATATGAAGTTGTTCATTTTTATAGTATTTATGTAAATAGTGAACAAGGGACAGATTCGGTCTGTACAATTTGAACTATGTCAATTTGTTGCGGGTTGCCTAAAGATGTGACGTCACAATAAAAGAGTCTATATTTAGTAGAAACGTATTGTGTCTACCGACGCGACATCTGCACGAATATTGCGTTAGAAGAAATGGAGTTTCAATTTCTAATCTTAGATTAGCTACCCATAATCATTTTGGATTGTAATATTTATATTAAAATTTTGCTATAAAGATAAATATTATGTCTTATAATTTTTGCCACAATTTTTATTGTTTTCGAAAACAAGATGTTCATGTTTGAATAAAATTCCAACACATTTTAATTTCTAGTCTCAACTTAAATGTATATTTCTCACCTGCACTATGATGAAGATTGTCAGTCCAAACGTTAAAGCTACGAGGACGATGTCTTGTTGCTCGCTAGGAAGACTGACTGCGGATGCACAACCGAAGAAATTCAAGAGGAAATTTCCTAAGAATTCCGCCAAAAGGGCTTTCCAGATGCCTCCTTTCTTGTCTTTAAGTTCGCTGATGCCGAGCTTTTCGCGAAAGTTACCCATCGTTTATACCTGGAAAAAAAGTACACTGTAAACCTTGTACACAGGACAAAAAAGTGTCAAATGCGATAGCCTTGTATATGCAAATCGTAACTCACTGCAACTTGTTAATTTTGCATTTAGTAGTATTTGCCACCAAGATAATTATTTTCCGAGCAATGATGCATTTTTATTAGGGGCAATTGGTGGTCATCAGTTTTACGTTTTATTTATAAAACTATGAGCGAGCTATTTATAACCCGGGATCAAGTGGGGAAAATTACTTAATAATTTTGACATTACATTTGCATTGGAGTGTAGGTTTCATAAATTATTTCACATTAGTTATAGCGTTAATAATAAAAAAGTTACAGTTTATTGATGTGAAACAGATATTTTATAAGAAACTAATTCATACTGATTGAAAGAAAAAAAAGTAATTAGGTACTCTGTTGCATAAAGACGCACATAAAAGAATAATATATGCATCCAAATTAGGACAAATATACTTGTCCTATTATCCAAAGTTGGTGAAAAAATCTTGTACAACATTCCTTTTGAGTCCGATGTGCTCATTCTTTGTGGTAGTTTAAAAGATTGTTAAATTGTTTACTCGTGCATAACCATATATCGGGTGTCCCAAAATCCACGCAAAATTTTAACTTTACACCATTTTTGCAGTAAATTGTTGCTAACGAAAAAAAATATGGCGTGATAGCTGATAGTTCAGGGTTATTAAAAATGGAAACATTACTAGAGTTTTAATCCCATACTCATAGTTATTTCTAGGGTTCTCGAGTGCTTAAAATTCAAACAAATTTCCATCAAATATTTTCAGGATATTCATACAAATACATGCTCTTTCACACTTGCAGTTACAGGTATAATAAATTCCGATCATATTAAGCTTATCTTCATTTTCAATATTTGCATCATTTCAAAACGGAAACGTTTTTGAACATTTACTGTAAGTATAACATTCGTTTGGAGTTTTGGTTGTTTAAATGCATTTTTAATAACTAATTTGTCATAATGAAATTAAAATTGTAATAATGTTTTAATTTTGACAAAACAACTTATCGAATTATGTATGACCAGGTGATGGAGATTAAAACTCTAATAATGTTTTATTGTAACGTGTGATGGAAATAGTTTAAATAACTAGGTAGATTTCACAGGGTCTAACGACACTTACAGTGTACGATAATTCAATAAACAAAGAAATCTAAATAAAAAATTTAGATAAATTTGGAACGAACACATTGAAGACAAAACGTCTGAATCTGGTTAGGGCTGAGGCAGTACAGTATTGGGGGTTATGAAGGCTTGCAAAAAATGTAATACAATTTCGAGGGTGGTATTTAAAAAAAATGAATTTGATGGTCCTGGAGAGACGAAACGTTGCATATGAAAATTGATTATGTCATTCGATAGAGGGCAAAAAGTTGCCTTGAGAAAGTGTTCTTTTTTTTCAATATCACCTCAAACAAGGCTGAAATGAAACAAAAACTGATTTCCAAAATTTAGGTTTTTTCAAATATTTTGAAAACTAATCATGTTAGCCTTGATTTTTTAGAGGCATAATATTGATTCCCTGAATATGCAACTTTGCCCCCATTTAAGCTACTTCGTATCTCTTACGGTTTCCGAGATTCCTGTAGTGAGAAGCGAATTTGTAACAGCCTGTAAAAAACCTGTGTTTTCTATCAAAATTACTTCTTACATACATTTTGGGACACCTTTTATTATGTATGAAATATTTATAGTCCAGTCGGCAGAGGACGAAAAATTACTGTTGGTGACATTTTCTTGATAACTGCAATAACAAAGCCGTGAGATTGAAAAAACGGTATAAAACGTCAATTTTTTAAAGTTGCTGTAAAAATGTCAATTATAAACAAACAGTGATAAAACTTTCGAAAAATAGTTCAATATATATATATATACAATAATGACGCTAAAGCCGAAAATCAGGAGAGCAAAACTTTTTGTTCTATAAGGTTTTATACATCCATCAGCATCGGAAACTCGAAACTTTGCCAAATTTGTTTGAAGTTTTGCTGACACTTGAAATTTGGTATCTTACACATAGTGTAAATATGCAGAAACCAAAAGCAATTTGCAAAATTCAATTATCTTCATTTTTGCAGCTTTGGTAAGGTTTTATACATTACCGTTTTTTTTAATTTTTGGAAAAATATATATGTACCTATATTTATAAAATATTCCATCACGGTAGATTAACCAGCACAATTACCAACAATTAAAAAAAAAAATAATTTTCATCGTTTAGATCCAAAGCTACTTAACATTTTGCGCCTGTTAGCCGTAGTCGGCTAGACATTATTCAACATATCAACATAAAGCAAAATCGTAGGTACGTGTGGGGTAAACACTTTTCATTTTCGAGCGCGAGCTCCGCTCTTCGGCGCTTGTATACTATTAGAAATATGCAACAGTCCTAAATTTAAACAATTGTTTACTTAAAGTTAAAGGTTTACCCCACACGTACGTTTTTGTTTTATGTTGATATGTTGAATAATGTACGAGTATGGCTAACAGGCGCAAAATATTTAGCTTAGGATCTAAACGATGAAAATATTTTTGTTTTTAAATTGTAGGTAATTGTGCTGGCCAATCTACCGTAATGGAAAATTTTTATAAATATACATAAATATACGTCCAAAAATTAAAAAAACGGTGACGTATAAGACTTTACCAAAACTGCAAAAATGAAGATACTTGAATTTTGCAAATTGCTTGTGATTTCTGCATATTTACACTATGTGTGTACCAAATTTCAAGTGTCAGCAAAGCTTCGAACAAATTTGGCAAAGTTTCGAGTTTCAGATGCCGATGAATATATAACACCTTATAGAACAAAAAGTTTTGCTCTCCTGAGTTTCGGCTTTAGCGTCATTATTGTATATATATTGAACTAGTACTAGTTTTCGAAAGTTTTATCACTTTTTGTTTATAATTGATATTTTTACAGCAACTTTAAAAAATTGACGTTTTATACCGTTTTTTCAATCTCACGGCTTTGTTATTGCAAATTTCGTAATCGGACCACCACTATTTTTATTAAGACCAAAATCATGTCCTAAGCATTTTTTCGTACAAAGTCATTCCGCTGAGTTCTTTAAAGAAAACTACTAAAAAAAATTTTTTTCACGATTAAATTGTTAATAACTTTTTTTCCTGATAAAATACTTTGTCAGCAAATTAGCCTGTTATTGTACTCATCATTTAAAGTAGGCCTGTGTAGTTATTTCCGGGTTATCAATGTTTGACACAGGCCGAACCTCTACCAACTGGACTATATACTAGAGTATAATCTCTATAATCCGGCACTTCACTACACCGGCACGTCCAGTAATCCGGCGTTATTTTTTCCGCGTTTGTTTACTATTCTTGAAGAAAACAGTTTATACAGTTATAATTTAGTTGAAAGATTATTTTACAGAAACATAAAAACATTACAATATACACATAATTATAAGCATACACAACTATAATATGTATGTATCTATATGTACCAATCTCTTTGTTAATAAACAATTAAAAGTAACGTTTTTTAATTTAATACTGTTTACATATACATTTTCCATTAATCCGAATTTTCCAGTACTACGGCACTTTTAGGTTTTTAATGGTCCCGGATTAGTGAGATTGTACTGTATTAACATTTGTAATATTTGCTAATAACGATAGTTACGCCCAATAATGGAAATTAATTACTTTATTATCTGTCAAGATAAAAATACAGTACATAGCTATTAAATTCATTTTAATCTAATGAAGCAAAGCAAACACATCTTATTTATCTGTGATATTGTTCTAATATTTACATGTCGACACTTACTAGATATTTATTCACACATGAATAGTCTGTTATCGATCTTGGTGGAAGGTATATCATGTTATATTTTTCACTGAATGAGCACACCGTGCTTTGTATCCGACTAGAAATTACGTCTTTGATAAGGAAGAATCATTATGGCCTTTGCTACGTACAAATTACTCAGTAATTGTAATATAAAAAATACTTTTCTTTATTCCTTCATCAACCGTATTCAGAGATGAATTGAAAGTTTCTTATGTCGCTAGCAATAATCTAATCATATGATTACATCGTTCTCGTTTATTCTATTGCACACCTAGGACCCGCGCTGCCTAGGAGACCGCCACAATTATCTGCGAGTTTCTGAACGTTTAAAATTTGCGAAAAAATTAGAAATTAAAAAAATCAATTTTAAAATAAATATGCCCGATTTTTTAAAAGAAAACTAGTTGAGAACCGCTGATTCCGCTGTTGGTAAAAGGAGGTGGACAGTAGATATTGTTTTGAGGTTCAAAACCCCGTTTTACGTAATAACTTTTAAATAATTTATAAATATTGCTACACATTTTCTTGAATAAGTACATAAAAAGGGAATAATAACAGTTTCTCACACTTTAAGTAATACAGATTGCTTCCAAACTTGGTTGAACTGAAATTAGTATATTTTTTACCTGAAACCTCTACTATATCTCATACTGATGTATTTTTTCTTTCAAATCGATTAACGTTATTACAACAGCGTCAAAATATCAATTAAAAATATATTATTCACCGTTTTATTCGTTGTAAAACGACAATAAAAGTGTAATTACATATAACTACGTCTCGCTCTATGATTTTACTATAATGGATTCCTTTGTCCGCAGGATATGTTACAATAAGCACGTGACGTGTGTAAAATAAAGCTTTGTGAACTATTATGCATGTAGCCTGCGTGCACATTGCTATATCCTGCCTGAAATTAGTTCATTAAAGTGCACTGGCAATGACATCAACTGATTCTTATGTTAGTTTTAAAACAAAAGTGTATAATGTAGCAAAATAGTAAGGGCGCCGTATTCTTTAAATAGTGTTTTCCATAAAGACAAATAATTTCAAACATTTAATAACTGAATAATCTAAAGCTTATCAAATAATAGGAATGTTATGTCATCCCATTTGAGTACTTTCAAAGACGCCGCAGTAAAAC